TTAATAGACATTTTATTAAGATAAGAATCCAAAGTTTAATGTGGAAGTCTATTTTTCTGCTCAAAATCTATAAAAAAAAAAATCTCTTCGTAGCTTCTGTTACAAACACACTTTGTATTTAATAGTTTGTTCAGACTCGTAACACTGTATTATGTCCGTTTGGTCAGTTAACTGCCTTGATTCAGATAAATAAAGTGAGCATCCACTGGCATTGGCTTCTTTTTTACCTCATGGTTGAATGTAAAAAAGTTTGTTGTTTGTGACAACAAACTGTTGTTTCGAAAGTGATCTTCATTTTCACCTGTCGGCAAGGTGACACTCTGGAAGCTGGCCAGCACTTAGTTAACACACTATAGTGAAGGTTGATAGGTTGATATAGCTTAACATTAACACAAACATAACAGGGACATGTTATAGAATTGTCCACTAGGCCACGTTTCATATCTCCCAATTACATGTCCCCGGTAAGTCTGGTTAAATAAGGATGTTTTTTGTAGGCTACTTTTAAGAATATTCAGGAAAAGCAAATGACTTTATCAGTGCTTTATGTATCATTTTCTTTTATCAGTGCTCTATCTATCCTTTTTCTTTGACAGTTGTACGTGACTTTGATGGTCGGATCTATGCTCGGGAGTGGAGTGGAGGCCTGCTAGCTGGAGGGTTTGAACCACGAGGCAAACCAGTGTTCCATAATGGAGTTCCTGATAAGTTTGAATTTCAGCTTCTCCCAGAGGACTGGGATCATTTTCGTAAGAATTAGCACAATAAATATATTAAAAACAGGAGAAACATACGGGTGAACATGTTCCCCGTCCCCCTGACTGTCTGCAGTATTATAGTGCAATTGAGAGAAATGTCTGCTGTATGATTTTGGACAGCTTACTTAACTTGATTCAGCACACTGTGGCTTAACTTGATTCAGCACACTGTGGCTTACCGCTGGTGAATTGTTTCCAGCAGTTCAGAGTTGAGACACTGGTCATTTTGCACTCTTTGCTTGACATTTCGAAAGCTGCAAAATAAACAATTCTTGTTTGTGTTCAAAACAAACTTAGCCTTTCTTTTTAAAACCATACTGATGAATCTTATTCTTATTGATCGGTGTTGTTATCAAGATACATCAACTGTAAGTCTTGGTTGCAGCATAGCCAGTTTGTTATATGTAATAGGTTTCTGGTCAGATAGGATTTACCTGAGTTGATCTCTGCATGTAATAGTCATATCTGGTGATTATACTAGCAAACAGGTTATACACCTTTCACCAGTAATTAATACCTATGTATCACTAAGTAATACCTATGTATCACTAAGTAATACCTAGGTATCACTGAGTAATACCTATGTATCACTGAGTAATACCTATGTATCACTAATTTATACCTATGTATCCCTAAGTTATACCTATGTATCACTAAGTAATACCTATGTATCAGTAATACCTATGTATCACTGAGTAATACCTATGTATCACTAAGTGATACCTATGTATCACTGAGTAATACCTATGTATCACTAATTTATTCCTATGTATCCCTAAGTTATACCTATGTATCACTAAGTAATACCTATGTATCACTGAGGAATACCTATGTATCACTGAGTAATACCTATGTATCCCTAAGTAATACCTATGTATCACTGAGTAATACCTATGTCTCACTAAGTAATACCTATGTATCACTAATTTATCCCTATGTATCACTAAGTAATACCTATGTATCACTAATTTATACCTATGTATCACTAAGTTATACCTATGTATCACTGAGTAATACCTATGTATCCCTAAGTAATACCTATGTATCACTGAGTAATACCTATGTCTCACTAAGTAATACCTATGTATCACTAATTTATCCCTATGTATCACTAAGTAATACCTATGTATCACTAAGTTATACCTATGTATCACTAAGTAATACCTATGTATCAGTAATACATATGTATCACTGAGTAATAGCTATGTATCACTGAGAAATACCTATGTATCACTGAGTAATACCTATGTATCCCTAAGTAATACCTATGTATCACTGAGTAATACCTATGTCTCACTAAGTAATACCTATGTATCACTAATTTATCCCTATGTATCACTAAGTAATACCTATGTATCACTAATTTATACCTATGTATCCCTAAGTTATACCTATGTATCACTAAGTAATACCTATAGCTATGTATCACTAAGTAATACCTATGTATCACTGAGTAATATCTATGTATCACTAATTTATACCTATGTATCACTAAGTTATACCTATGTATCACTAAGTAATACCTATGTATAACTAAGTAATACCTATGTATCACTGAGTAATACCTATGTCTCACTAAGTAATACCTATGTATCACTAATTTATACCTATGTATCACTAAGTTATACCTATGTATCACTAAGTAATACCTATGTATAACTAAGTAATACCTATGTATCACTGAGTAATACCTATGTATCCCTAAGTAATACCTATGTATCACTGAGTAATACCTATGTCTCACTAAGTAATACCTATGTATCACTAATTTATACCTATGTATCACTAAGTAATGCCTATGTATCACTAAGTAATACCTATGTATCACTGAGTAATACCTATGTATCCCTAAGTAATACCTATGTATCACTGAGTAATACCTATGTATCAGTAATACCTATGTATCACTGAGTAATACCTATGTATCACTAAGTAATACCTATGTATCAGTAATACCTATGTATCACTGAGTAATAGCTATGTATCACTGAGTAATACCTATGTATCACTGAGTAATACCTATGTATCACTAATTTATACCTATGTATCCCTAAGTTATACCTATGTATCACTAAGTAATACCTATGTATCACTAAGTAAAACCTATGTATCACTAAGTAATACCTATAGCTATGTATCACTAAGTAATACCTATGTATCAGTAATACCTATGTATCACTGAGTAATACCTATGTATCACTAATTTATACCTATGTATCACTAAGTAATACCTATGTATCACTAAGAAATGTTGTACATAAAGGATGTGCGGTAGTCTAGTGGTAAGACGCGGGGCTCGTTACCGAAGGGTTGCGGGTTCCAGTCACAGCACAGCGCTGTGTTGTATCTTTGAGCAAGATACTTTACTCCACTTGTTCCAGTCTACTTAGCTGTAAATATGTATGTGGTTGGGCAATGCTAAAATTGTTGAATGCTAGCTGTGAACGCCGAAATGGCAGCACCGGCTGTATGCTCCTCAGGGAGTTGAGACAGATATGGGCTGATTGCAAAGGCCTTTAACCTAAGAAAATAATTTGTGAACCGCTTTGAGACAACCTAAGAACTAGGTTGTGATAAAGCGGTATATAAGAACCTTGAATTATTATTATTATTATTATCAAATCAGCTTCATTTGATATTCTAGTCAAAGTTTGCCATGAAAGTTCATTGGTTTACAAGACAATATTCAATGGAAATTATTGTTTTGTGTAACCCAATTCTTACATGAATTTAAGCGATCGATGTTCTAAGTCATTATGACATCCATAGAGAACATTGATGTTTCAGTTTTATGTAAGTATGTTGAGAGATTTCATTGTAAAAGTACTTTTAAATATAAATCTGTTTGGTTTCTACAATGACAGAGGTGTTGTTGGACCCAATTCTGCATCGCTTCCCATGCATGGAGACTGCTGAAGTGAGACATTTGGTGAATGGACCAGAAAGTTTCACTCCTGATGGTCACTGGAATCTGGGTGAATCACCAGAGGTACAAACAGTTGGAAATATCTGATAAAATTTCCAGTTTAAGTGTACTGAAGCAATATCTTTTATAAATATGCAAAAATACAGTTTGCCAAAAATAATCTGTCATAAACACAGAATTGGTTTTGACCAAATGTCCTCATTGAATTCATCCTCTATACATTAATCAACATGATACTTAATGAAAGAATTTACCTTAAGGTGTTACATGGACAATTCAATACAGACAAAATACTTTTTACATGCACATTTATATTATATATACACATAAAAAGCCTTTTCAATGTTATAAATTAAATCAGTACATTCCTCCTGGCGACCAATATCGGAGCATCTTTTAGTCCAGAGTTTTACTTAGAGTAAAACTTTTATCCTGAACAGGTGAAGAATTACTTTGTGGCAGCAGGCATGAACTCCATGGGTGTGGTCGGCTGTGGAGGGATAGGGAAACATCTGACTGAATGGATCATTGACGGCGAGCCGAGCATCAACCTCGCAGAGCATGACATCCTGAGATATGTTCCTCACCATAGCAACAAGAAGTTTCTCAAGGAGAGAGTCAAGGAAACCATTGGTAAACTTTTTAAATTCTTGTCTATTTTGTGAGGACTGGTTCTTAACTTCTGCCAAAGCACAGCATAATCTTTTAAAAATCTCCTTTTCTTTATATTGATTTGCCTACACAAATATGATTTTGAATCTGTTTGTTAGAAAAGAAGCATTTATATTATAAACCCTACAATGATTTAGATAATATCAGTGTTTAAACAGATGAGATTCCATTAAAAGAATACATTTTTGCCCATTACCTTGAAATTCAGCTCTATATGAAATGCGGTTCCCATATGAATATTGGGAGACTGGGCGTAAACTGAGGACATCGCCCCTACACACCACACTGGAGGTAGACGGGGCAATCTTTGGGGAAACCAATGCATACGAACGACCCATCTACTTTGCAAGACCTGATGGTATGTAGGTGATGTTACCTGACTCTTTATGTAATTGTATATAAAACAGTTTTGGATTGTATTCCTCCTAAAATTTCTAAACATAACACGCTACTTTTTCCTACCGTATGGCTGTTAACTGGTCACTTGACAGACTGGTGTTTGCTACCCTATTAAATGTTGATTTCTTACTCACTGAATGTTTGTTTTCCATTGGTCATGTTGGTTAAGTAACCAAACAGTTGTTTCATGCCTTATCAGTCAAACTATTTTCCTGCCTCAGGAAACAGTTCATCTGGTGAGTCCCAACTCCCCAGGAATCTAGTTTTTACTGTTACCTGACTCGCTATATAAATGCATATGAATCAATTTCGACTGTTTCCCAGACAATTCACCAAATGAGCTATAGCTAATGTGTGCTACCGTAAAACTGTTGACTGGTCACGTGAAACTGTTAACTGGTCACGTGATAGGTAATCGAACGCACCTATATTTACAAGCACCCCGATGATCAAGCGTTTTTGGTACTGGATTGTTGACAGTCGTCTGTCAGTAGATATAAACATCACATTGGACATGGAACTTTTTGTTTTTCATTGGTCAAGTAACAAAACAGTTGTTTCATGCTTTATCAGTCAATAGTCAAAACTATTTTCCCGATGAGTTGGGACCCACCAGATGAACTGTTTCCCGAGGCCGCAACTGATAAAGCTTGAAACAACTGCATACTGAGGGATTTCTGGGCTAGTGTAATCTAATTAACTGTTTGTGTTATTTTTACCAATTCTTTTAATGAAACATGACAAAATTGCTTACGTTAACCACACATGTATAACCTATAAGAATATGTTGACATTGTGATTATTGGTTTGGTACACTGTGTATATTGCTGTCAAAAGGACTATTAAAAATCCAATACCCAGTAAAATTTATTGCTATATGGTGGCGGTCAGCTGTTGACTGTTCAAGGTGAACAAAAAGTAAAAATGTTATGAATGATGATTGATCATATTTGCAAATATGATTTGATCTTTAAGACATAGAGTTTTAGGCACAAAAAATCAAATATCTCCACAGTACCTTAAAAGTATAAGATAGTTACCATTTATCTTATACAAGTATTCATATAATTGAATGTGTTAAGTTTAATCTTATAGTCTCTATATGTTAACTTGTCAGATGAGTTTGCAAATCAGTATCGTCCTGGAAAAGGCTCCTATGGCAAGCCACCCTGGTTTGATAATGTCAAGGAGGAGTACTGGGCTTGTAAGGAACGTGTCTGTCTCATCGACATGTCATCCTTCTCAAAGTTTGAAGTCAAGGTAAGGAATAAAGTTACAAAGGTCAAAGTCTAGTACAGATTTTGTCTGTCTTGTCGACATGTCATCCTTCTCAAAGTTTGAAGTCAAGGTAAGGAATAAAGTTACAAAGGTCAAAGTCTAGTACAGATTTTGTCTGTCTTGTCGACATGTCATCCTTCTCAAAGTTTGAAGTCAAGGTAAGGAATAAAGTTACAAAGGTCAAAGTCTAGTACAGATTTTGTCTGTCTTGTCGACATGTCATCCTTCTCAAAGTTTGAAGTCAAGGTAAGGAATAAAGTTACAAAGGTCAAAGTCTAGTACAGATTTTGTCTGTCTTGTCGACATGTCATCCTTCTCAAAGTTTGAAGTCAAGGTAAGGAATAAAGTTACAAAGGTCAAAGTCTAGTACAGATTTTGTCTGTCTTGTCGACATGTCATCCTTCTCAAAGTTTGAAGTCAAGGTAAGGAATAAAGTTACAAAGGTCAAAGTCTAGTACAGATTTTGTCTGTCTTGTCGACATGTCATCCTTCTCAAAGTTTGAAGTCAAGGTAAGGAATAAAGTTACAAAGGTCAAAGTCTAGTACAGATTTTGTCTGTCTTGTCGACATGTCATCCTTCTCAAAGTTTGAAGTCAAGGTAAGGAATAAAGTTACAAAGGTCAAAGTCTAGTACAGATTTTGTCTGTCTTGTCGACATGTCATCCTTCTCAAAGTTTGAAGTCAAGGTAAGGAATAAAGTTACAAAGGTCAAAGTCTAGTACAGATTTTGTCTGTCTTGTCGACATGTCATCCTTCTCAAAGTCAAGGTATGTCATCCTTTTCAAAATTGGAATTGTGAAGATAAGTGTTTAAAAGTTCAAGGTTAACTGATGGAATTTGTCTCAAAGTTTAAGGTCAAGAAATAAGTTTTTTAAGTGGATTTTATGGTCAGAGTAGGGCATGTGTCTTTCTGACTGAAATGTCATTCTCTTAAAAGTTCGTCATTTAGGTAAGGAATATATGTCTTTATCTAAAATCAAAGGAACGTCATTGCCATCTAAGAGTTTTTCTGCTTGATTATGTCAAAAACAAATGCTCAGCAGTAATCATTCATGCTTCATCTGAAAAGCTCATTTAAATGAAAAGGAAAAGAGGAGGCATGCGTTGTATGTAAAATTGAATAAATTGATGTTACATTTAGCACATTAAAGAGGTTGTACTATAGTTTTCTTCACCTTTATATTAATATGTTTTTTGTGTCTTAATAGACTTGAGGCATAGAAAACAAGTAGCTAATATGAAAAAGAGTATTTTCTCAGGTGTAGTGATTTGCTAAATTATCAAAAGGAATGAGTACACTAAACCTTACATGATAATGTGTACTCTGTGTACTTCCAGTCCAGTGGGTCTGAGGCCTTACAGTTCTTGGAGTATCTGAGTTCTAATGACATTGAAGATAACATTGGAGAGATAATCCACACGGGTATGCAGAATAACCGTGGAGGATACGAGAATGACTGTACTGTTGTACCTCTCGAACACAACCAGTAAGTGTCACACAAACTGTATTGGCAATTATACAGTGTTGTTTAACCATTGTTTAACCATAACACATTAATTTGCTTCAACATATTTTCGGGGGGGGGGTTGAAGTATGACCTAATCATAGCTTGAATTATCCTAGGTTTTTTTTAACCAATGTTTGAATGATTCTGAAATCTTTCTGAACCAAAGCTTACATGATTATGATTTTTTTTCTGATTGATCTTAAAATCTTTTCAAACCAAACGTTGTATGATTCTGAACCAAAGCTTGTGTTTTCTTGCTGCTTTCTTAACCAAAGCTCATATGATCCTGAAATAAAATGATAATTTGACATGTGTGTTAAATTATAGTTTATATACAACTTTTATTGCTCCCTTGCTTATATATATTATAGGTTGTTTTTCTACAGTGGAACAGTTAGATATATATGTGTGAATTTACTTAAGTTCATTTCCTTGTTTACGTGTGGTAATTCTTGTATCTAGGTTTTTCATGTTTATGTTTTTATGCAAATTAGGGGATTGTTAACCAATCAGCATCAACCCCTAGAGGGTATGTGGTATTGTTAGTGCCCCTCATTATTGATTTCTGGTGGGTGTTGGTGTGTTTGCTTTTCGCGTACCCACCCACCTACCCCAGCTGCTCCCTGAGCTTTGTTGTAACTAATAAGCTATAAGCTTAGCAGATTGTTTAGTGCATGTTTGATTATTTTACTTCTGCTATCTTTTGTATTCTTTTGTGATGATCATGAGATGTATCTGTTTTCATTGAATTTTCCGTTGTTGCTTATAATGATTGTATACAGGGTATCTTGAATTACCATAGGGTTACTCACTCTTTTATCCCAAGGGTTTTAATTCCTGGGGAATTTTCCCCCCAATACTTTTCTGTAATATTATTTACTTATCTGTTGATTATTTTACTGCTTTTGCTTTAATTTTTTCGGTCTATTCTTGATACTACTAGGCTCTTGAATCGCTCAGGAGTTTCATCTTGCCAGCTCTTAAATCACTTAAGTCTAGTGGTCAGTTTGCCTCTCTTGAATCGCTCAAGGCAAGAGCTCTCTGCTTTTAAATTGCTTAAAAGTTTTCTTTACTACTTATGAGTATTTTATATGCAGCTCTTGAATCGCTCAAGGGTTTGCTCTAGATATCTACATGTATACTGTCTTGAATCGCTCAAGAATGTTCACTAGATATTTACATTTGGCCGGTCTTGACCTGTCTTGAATCGCTCAAGAGTTGTCTGGCCTACTTTTAATATATTGCTGAGAATATGTTTTTTCCTTGTGGCCTCTTTCTTTGCTTAGGAGGCTACCTCGTCAGTACACGTTTGTTTTTGTAGTATTGTATATAGTTAGCTTATAGTGTTGAGTGAGTAGCCCCTGATACGCCAAAGTATAAGTTTGTATTTT